AATAACATTAGAAGATGGGTGGAAGGGAGAGACTCAGAGATGCAATATATATACAAAAGTATGTGGATACCGCTTCAAATCAGTGGATTCGGCTATTCCAGCACACAGCCATGCAATCTCCATAGACAAACATTGGCAGTAGAATGGCCTTACTGAAGAGCTCAGTGACTTTCAACGTGGCACCTTTCCAACAAGTCAGTTCGTCAAATTTCTGCCCTGCTAGAGCTTCCCCGGTCAACTGTCAGTGCTGTTATTGTGAAGTGGAAACGTCTAGGAGCAACAAGTGGTAGGCCACTCAAGCTCACAGAACAGGAGTGCAGAGTGCTGAAGCGCGTAGCACGTAAAAATTGTCTGTCCTCGGATGCAACACTCACTACTGAGTTCCAAACTGCCTCTGGAAGCAACGTCAGCACAATAACTGTTCATCGGGAGCGTCATGAAATGGGTTTCCATGGCCGAGCAGCAACACACAAGCCTAAGATCACCATGTGCAATGCCAGGCGTCGGCTGGAGTGGTGTAAAGCTCGCCGCCATTGGACTCTGGAGCAGTGGAAACTCGTTCTCTGGAGTGATGAATTATGCTTCACCATCTGGCAGTCCGACGGACTAATCTGGGTTTGGCGGATGCCAGGAGAACGCTACCTGCCCCAATGCATAGTGCCAACTGTAAAGTTTGGTGGAGGATTAATAATGGTCTGGGGCTGTTTTTCATGGTTCAGGCTTGGTCACTTAGTTTCAGTGGAGGGAAATTTTAACGCTACAGCATACAATGACATTCTAGACGATTCTGTGCTTCCAACTTTGTGGCAACAGTTTGGGGAAGGCCCTTTCCTGTTTCAGCATGACAATGGCCACGTGCACAAAGCGAGAGCCATATAGAAATGGTTTGTCAAGATCAGTGTGGAAGACTGGCCTGCACAGTGCCCTGACCTCAACTCCATCTAACAAGTTTGGGATGAATTGGAACGCCGACTGCGAGCCTTGGCCTAATCGCCCAACATCAGTGCCCGACCTCACTAATGCTCTTGTGGCTGAATGGAAGCAAGTCCCCTGCAGCAATGTTCCAACATCTAGTGGAAAGCCTTCCCAGAAGAGTGGAGGCTGTTATAGCAGCAAAGGGGGAACCAACTCCGTGTTAATGCCCCTGATTTTGGAATGAGATGTTCGACGAGCAGGTGTCCACATACTTTTGATCATGTCGTGTATGTGACTCAGAGTTTTCCTCAGGAATGTCTCAAATCAGACTACTGCTGGTGAGACAGACACCGAGAGAAGTCTACATTATCTGGACATTAATTAGACCTTTATTCTTCCTGAAAGAAAAATAACACCTTTGTGATGTCAAGAACATACAGGAACATTAACATCACACACAGCAGCGTAACCATCTCTGTGATCTCTGTGATCTCTATTATCTCTATGATCTCTGTGATCTCTGGCCTTGTGTTCCTGAGGTGAAACAAAGCGGAGAGATACAATACAATGCTTTCTCTGTCATTTATTTAGTCTGTCTTCCCTCAGTCAGGACTAAAGGATGTGTTCAGTTTGTTTTCTTCTTCTAGGGAGTTTTATTAGCCACTGTGCTTCTGCCTCTGCATTGCTTCCTGTTTGGGGTCTTAGACTGGGTTTCTGTATAAGCACTTTGTGACAACCGCTGATGTAAAAAGGGCTTTATAAAATACATTTGATTGATTGATTGATTGATTGATTGATCTTCACCCGTGCAGAGGCTCACAAGTGTGAGTTGAGCTGTCAGTCCAAAGAGACCGGTGAGGTGGTGGTCATGAACCAGGTGATGCATGATGGGACGCGGTGCAGCTACACAGACCCCTTCAGTGTCTGCACCCGGGGGGAATGTCTGGTATGTACAGTAGGCTTATAGACATACCTCAACCGCGCAAGACCGCCGACGCTATACCCGGAGCGGATAAGCATCGCGAGCAGACCGGATCAGACCTCGAGCATCGAGTCCGACCCAGGCGACGCCGAGATCAGGAGACCGCTCGCAGCGATACCTACCGGCTAGCAGACCGCGAGGAGATACGACGAGCGAGACCGCGCTAGCGATCAACCGCTAGCGAGACCGCTAGCATACTAGCACCGCGCGATCATACCGCAGAGAACCTCCTATACCGAGATCAGACATCGTCGAGATACTAGAACCCTGTATCGGCGACTATACCTCTCTATCCCTACCGAGACCGCGCTAGCGAGACCGCGCGAGCGAGACCGCGCAGAGCTAGACCGCGCGACGAACCGCATCTAGACCTCTCCAGTCTAACCTCTCGATCTATACCTCTCTTATCAACCTCTACTAGACCGCTCAACGAGTCTAGACCGCCAGACCGCGAGCTATACCGTCGAGACCTTATCGGGGACCGCTCAACTAGACCTCGATCAACCGCGCTAGCGAGACCCGCGAGCAGAACCGCCGATCGAGGACAGCGCTAGCGAGACCGCGTAGCGAGGACCGCGCTCGAACCCTCGATCTGAGACCTCCTATCGAGACCTCTCTAGCTATACCTCTCGATCTATAACTGCCTCTGATCACCGCTCTATCTATACCTCTCTATCGAGACCGCTAGCATACCTCTATCTACCTATCTAGACCGCGCTACGAGACCGCGCTATCGAGACCCTGCTAGCGATACCTCTCGCGATCGAGACCGCTATCGAGACCTCGCAGCTATACCTCTATCGAGACCTCGCTAATAACCTTAGCATCTATCTAGACCTCTATCTATACCTTCCTACTATACCTCGATTGACCTCTCTATCTATACCTCTCTATCTAGACCTCTCTATCTAGACCTCTATCTAGACCTCTCAGATACTATACCTCTCATCTATACTCTTATCTAGACCTCCTATAGAACGTCGAGCTAGACCATACTCGATCTAACCTATTAGCTCTAAGACCGCGAGTCAGACCGCTATCTATACCGCTCGATCGAACCTAGCGAGACGCAACCGCGAAGCGAGACAGCGAGCGAGAACCGCTAGCGAGACGGAGAGCAGACCGCGAACGAGACCGCGCGAGCGAAAACCGGAGCGAACCGGGGTAGCGAGACCAGTAGAGAGTATATCGATAGCTTCAGATACGATCTAGATCACCTCTATAGTATAACGAGATCCGATTAGACCTAATTTATATATCATTTGATAGAGTGATAGCGAGACTTTAAACTCGGTATGATTATCTCAGATAGCTAGATCGATCCCTATTCTGTGGTGCATCTATATCTTCTCGCTCTATAGCTTAGTATATCGAATAGTGATCCTTATTTATGATCTGTTGACTTCGATATCTCTCTTATATATGCTAGGACTCGTCTATAATACTCTAGCTCTTCGTTGATCTATATCTCTCTACTTAGATCTCTCTCTCTCTCTCTCTCTCTCTCTCTCTCTCTCTCTCTCTCTCTCCTCTCTCTCTCTCTCTCTCTCTCTCTCTCTTCTATCTCTCTCTCTCTCTCTCTCTCTCGCTCTCTCTATCTGTGCCTCTCTCTCTCTCTCTCTCTCTCTCTGTCTTTCCATTAAGTCTACTTAATGTTTTGGTTGTAGTTTAGATACCATAACAGACATTTGCATTTTCCAGTCCAGACCAAAACGTTTGTAGATTGAGGGCCAGATTCAACATATGTTATGTCTCCCTTACCAATCTGTGTCTTCGATAGATTGGTATCACTTCTATAGCAGAAGTCTGGAGAGTAGTGTTCCACTGCAAGTCAGACAGGCTAGATGAAGCCTCCCCAGACTAATCTCAGTCAGTGTAAAAGTCAGACAGCCTAGATGGCGCCTCCCCTTGGTTGATTGACTGACTGTGCCCTTCTCCCTCCCAGAATGTGGGCTGCGACAAAGAGGTTGGCTCGTACAAACAAGAAGACAAGTGTGGAGTCTGTGGGGGGGACAACTCCCACTGTCGCACTGTTAAACTGACACTCACCAAGATGCCAAAGAAAACAGGTAAACATTAGACCATCACCAGGGAGAAACCACAGTTCTGTTGAGAGCATTATGTTTTATTTCATTTGACTATCAATCAATACTTGATGAATAGTTGTATAGAATATGATGAGAAATAAATATTACAGCTTGAAATCCCTAAGATCCTCTCCTACATTCTTAGAAAAAAAGGTGCTAAAAGGGTCCTTCGGCTGTCCCCATAGGAGAACCTTTTGAAGAACCCTTTTAGGTTCCAGGTATAACCCTTTTGAGTTCCATGTAGAACCCTTTCCACACAGGGTTCTACATGGAACTCAAAAGAGTTCTACCTGGAAACAAAAAGGGTTCTACCTGGAAACAAAAAGGGTTCTACCTGGAAACAAAAAGGGTTCTACCTGGAAACAAAAAGGGTTCTACCTGGAATCAAAAAGTGTTCTCCTGTGGGGCCAGCTGAAGAACCCTTTTGGAACCCTTTTTTCTAAGAGTGTAATGTGCATAGCACTATGTTATCAATTCCCAGTTGGTGACTCTTGACTCTTGATAAGAGTCACCGGCAGGGGAATTCACGACGCGACACACTACACTTATTTTATTTTACCCTGTATTCACCCAGCTACAGCCCTTGACATGTACACAGATTAAACACAAACCACTGCTATCACTGGTTCACACACAACATTATAATTAGACACGGCACGTTTCTCCTCTATTATAGTCAATAGGAGGCCTGGGGTTGTCTGGATCAAGCGTCTCAGAGTAGGACTTTGGTCTTTTAGATAACAATGAATAAGGTTACATGGACGGGGGACGGGGGGGGGGGACGGGGGGACGGGGGGGGGGGGACGGGGGGACGGGGGGGGGACCTGATCCTAGATCAGTACTCCTACTCTGAGACGTATGATAGATATCGTCCCTGGTCTGTTGTTATTCTGTGCCTCATTGGATTAACTCCCTGACCAAACCGGTTGTCTTGTTGTGTTGTCCTATAGGCATGCTGAAGATGTTTGATATTGTCTTGTTGTGTTGTCCTATAGGCATGCTGAAGATGTTTCATATTGTCTTGTTGTGTTGTCCTATAGGCATGCTGAAGATGTTTCATATTGTCTTGTTGTGTTGTCCTATAGGCATGCTGAAGATGTTTCATATTGTCTTGTTGTGTTGTCCTATAGGCATGCTGAAGATGTTTCATATTGTCTTGTTGTGTTGTCCTATAGGCAAGCTGAAGATGTTTCATATTGTCTTGTTGTGTTGTCCTATAGGCATGCTGAAGATGTTTCATATTGTCTTGTTGTGTTGTCCTATAGGCATGCTGAAGATGTTTCATATTGTCTTGTTGTGTTGTCCTATAGGCATGCTGAAGATGTTTCATATTGTCTTGTTGTGTTGTCCTATAGGCATGCTGAAGATGTTTCATATTGTCTTGTTGTGTTGTCCTATAGGCATGCTGAAGATGTTTCATATTGTCTTGTTGTGTTGTCCTATAGGCATGCTGAAGATGTTTCATATTGTCTTGTTGTGTTGTCCTATAGGCATGCTGAAGATGTTTGATATTCCGATCGGTGCCCGGCACATCGTTATAGAGGAGAATGAGACTTCCCCCCACATAATTGGTAAGTGTGTCTCGTCACAGCGGGATAAATGGGGAGGCACCATATACACCAAAAGTATGTGGACACCCCTTCAAATGAGTGGATTCGGCTATTTCAGCCACACCTGTTGCTGACAGGTGTATAAAATCGAGCACACAGCCATGCAATCTCAATAGACAAACATTGGCAGTAGAATGGCCCGTACTGAAGAGCAAAGTGACTTTCAACGTGACACCGTCATAGGATGCCACTTTTCCAACAAGTCAGTTCGCTCAACTGTAAGTGCTGTTATTGTGAAGTGGAAACGTCTAGGAGCAACAATGGCTCAGCCACACAAGCTCACAGAATGGGACCGCCTAGTGCTGAAGCGCATAGCGTGTAAAAATCGTCTGTCCTCGATTGCAACTCTCACTACCGAGTTCCAAACTCCCGCTAGAAGCAACGTCAGCACAACAACTGTTCGTCGGGAGCGTCATGAAATGGGTTTCCATGGCCAAGCAGCCGCACACAAGCCTAAAATCACCATGCGCAATGCCAAGCGTCGGCTGGAGTGGTGTAAAGCTCGCTGCAATTGGACTCTGGAGCAGTGGAAACATGTTCTCTGGAGTGATGAATCACGCTTCACCATCTGGCAGTCCGACGGACGAATCTGGGTTTGGTGGATGCCAGGATAACGCTACCTGCCCCAATGCATAGTGCCAACTGTAAAGTTTGGTGACCTGAGCCCTAGGACCATACGTCGGGACTACCGGCCGTGGTGACTCCTTGCTGTCCCCAGTCCGCCTGGCCTTGCTGCTATTCCAGTTTCAACTGTTCTGCCTGCGGTTATGGAACCCCTACCTGTCCCAGACCTGCTGTTTTCAACTCTTAATGATCGGCTATGAAAAGCCAACTGAGATTTATTCCTGATTATTATTTGACCATGCTTGTCACTTATGAACATTTTTGAACATCTTGGCATGGTTCTGTTATAATCTCCACCCGGCACAGCCAGAAGAGGACTGGCCACCCCTCATAGCCTGGTTCCTCTCTAGGTTTCTTCCTAGGTTTTCGCCTTTCTAGGGAGTTTTTCCTAGCCACCGTGCTTCTACACCTGCATTACTAGCTGTTTGGGGTTTTAGGCTGGGTTTCTGTACAGCACTTCGAGATATTAGCTGATCTAAGAAGGGCTATATAAAATAAAATTGATTGATTGATTGATTGATTGGTGGAGGAGGAATAATGGTCTGGGGCTGTTTTTCATGGTTCAGGCTAGGCCACTTAGTTTCAGTGAAGGGAAATCGTAACACTACAGCATACAATGACATTCTAGACGATTCTGTGCTTCCAACTTTGTGGCAACAGTTTGGGGAAGGCCCTTTCCTGTTTCAGCATGACAATGCCCACGTGCACAAAGCGAGAGCCATATAGAAATGGTTTGTCGAGATCAGTGTGGAAGAACTTGACTGGCCTGTACAGAGCCCTGACCTCAACCCCTTCGAACACCTTTGGGATGAATTACAATGCCGACTGCGAGTCAGGCTTAATCGCCCATCATCAGTGCCCGACCTCACTAATGCTCTTGTGGCTGAATGGAAGCAAGTCCCCTGCAGCAATGTTCCAACATCTAGTGGAAAGCCTTCCCAGAAGAGTGGAGGCTGTTATAGCAGCAAAGGGGGGGGACCAACTCCATATTAATGCCCATGATTTTGGAATGAGATGTTCGACTAGCTTTTGGTCAAGTAGTGTACATTTACGGTAGGGACATCCGCAGAGCATGACTGCAGAACACACACACATACACACACACACACACACACACACACACACACACACACACACACACACACACACACACACACACACCCACACACACACATTTACAGTTTGAGCGTCAGCAGTGTGACTGCAGACCATTTGACTGTCACCAATTAGTCTTTGTAGAGTTGTATCCTGTAAGTAACGCTGACCAGCCATGGACGAGACATGAGGTACTTTCTCTCCCCCTTTTTAAAATGCAGATCACATCTAGCAGGGCCCACAGGGTATGGTGGCTGTGTGTGTGTATGTGCACAGAGCTTATCTAACATAACGTAGAGACGGAGAATGAACAGGAGAGTAGACTGAGCACATGGGTGGGGCAGCAGATGAAGAGGAGGCGGTCACAGCCTGGTGCTGCACAGCGCTAGGCATAATACCACATGGTACGTCTGATCACTGCCTCATTCATGTCAATGCAAACTAATGGTAATGGCCAGCCTATTTATGCAGAACCTCTTAGCCTCTTAATTGCAACTGGGAAATCAACCAGGATCCATATGAACAGTAGTCCAATCCATATGGCCTTAAACTGTAAACCTAACAAGTGTCTTTACCTTCAGTTTTCTGCTGGGAATACCAGGGTATGTATCACAGACTGTCTGAATAATGATGCTGGAAATGGTCTTGAATACATTTCCTCCTACGGTCCTTTGAATACACTTCAATGGTTCTTTGAATACATTTCCTGTAGCTCAGTTGGTAGAGCATGGCGCTTGCAACGCCAGGGTTGTGGGTTCGATTCCCACGGGGGGCCAGTATGAAAAATGTATGCACTCACTAACTGTAAGTCGCTCTGGATAAGAGCGTCTGCTAAATGACTAAAATGTAAATGTGAATTTCAATGTTACATTAGTTTGCAAAAAATAAATGTAAGCAATTTGCTCGTGATAATCTCAGCTGTGAATCAGGTCCTATGTGAGGTGAGTGTGACTTAGTGTACTGCTGAGACACACCTGTAAAACACATTATAGCTCCAACCTCAGATGTGCGTCAAGGTCCAGACGTACGTGTGTGTTACAGGCTTTGGTTTGGTTTTGGATTTCGAAGTTGGTTCTATTTAGGTGTGGACGCGCACTGATTGGAATCATCCTTGTTGGTCAGGGTGTGTTGACCTGTCACCTCGTTGGTCAGGGTGTGTTGACCTGTCACCTCATTGGTCAGGGTGTGTTGACCTGTCACCTCGTTGGTCAGGGTGTGTTGACCTGTCACCTCGTTGGTCAGGGTGTGTTGACCTGTCACCTCATTGGTCAGGGTGTGTTGACCTGTCACCTCATTGGTCAGGGTGTGTTGACCTGTCACCTCGTTGGTCAGTCGTTAGTTTCACATGTGCTGGCACAGCTGTAGCTCAATTGGTAGAGCATGGCGCTTGTAACGCCAGGGTAGTGAGTTCGATCCCCGGGACCACCCATACGTAAAAATGTATGCACACATGACTGTAAGTCGCTTTGGATAAAAGCGTCTGCTAAATGGCATATTATTATTATTATTATTATTATTATTATTATTATTATTAAAGCTGCGGTGCCAATGCTCCAGCAACATAAGAGATGTTGGATGCTGCACCTCTTTGTAGTGCTGCTTCTTTAAGTTGATAAACAAAGCCTTTCTGTCCTGGGTTTGGTTTGGTTTGGTTTGGTTTGGCCTGGTTTGGTTTGGTTTGGTCCACTTCTGTTTTACTCCATGTTATAGGTTGGTGTGGGTTTTTATTTTGGTTTGCCTTTTCTGGGGGCGTTTAGTGGCCACTCACGGTTGGTGTCTTTTAGGACCCAGTTTGTTGTTGCTAGTCAACATTCAGTGGACACCCCCATGAGTGTCTTTGAGAACCCATTTTAAACCCCCACTTGTTTAGTTGTACTTGTCCGTGGCTCATTTGTTAGTACCCTTTTCTGTTGAGCGACAGTATTTTTTGTTGTTTCTTGATGGGAACCTAACGTGTGTGTGTGTGTGTGTGTGTGTGTGTGTGTGTGTGTGTGTGTGTGTGTGTGTGTATGTGTGACTCCCCAGGTACACAATAGCTCTCTGTGTGTGAGCGGCTCAGCTGGAGTCAGTATCACCTTGGTTACCAGCCAAATCCTTCTCTCTCTCTCCCTCTCTAGGATCTATTATCTAACAGGGAGATGGTGAGACGAGGCTTTAGCATTAAAGCAACAATCTGCCATTTTGAATTTCAATGATGTATTCCATACACATATGTCTTTATTTGAAATGACCACTGAACTTAGTAACTATCGCAGATTGGACCTTTTATACAGGCCTGACACAATGTCAAATAATGGCTGCAAACTTCTATCATTGCTCTGCTCTCTCAGTAAGAATTTGAATCTCATTACTGTTATAGAAAAGTTAGATTTTACTTGAATTGAATGCAATGGCAGGTAGCCTAGTTGTGCTTCCAATGAAAGACGATTGTCATGGAATTCTAGTTGAATACACACACAGACACACACATAAACAGGGTTGGAACAGTGGGTCACCCCCTTCTGTATACCCTGTTTCTGCTGTGCTGGTTCTCTCAGACTATCCAACGGATGAAAACACATTGTGAATCAGACGGTTTCCCTGTGTTCCACAGCTGTTAAGAATCAAGTCACTGGCAGCTTCATATTGAATGCAAAAGGCGAAGGTGCCATGTCCAAAACCTTCATCGAGAGCGGTTTGGAGTGGGAGTACGTCTTTGGAAGCGGCGAGAAAGAAACCCTGAAAACAATCGGCCCCCTTCATGAGGGCATTGTTGTCCTGGTAAGAAGAAGAAACCTATGAATCCAGTAAGACACACACACACACACACACACACACACACACACACACACACATACAGGCTGAATTTTGCTGAACAAGTGGCAGTTGGGATGCAAGTGTGCATTGCCTCAATTCTAATTTTACCCAAAACAGGCAGACCCAAATGATCACTGTTGAACACAGCAGCATGTGGTCAGTAGATAAAGGGCTCAGTGCCCAAAGGGTTCACTTTGAGATTCAGCCACACTCCAGTCAGTCCTCTAGAAAGACAGTGGAGCACCCTCACTGTGATATGAATCACCTTTGATTGTCCACTAGTGCTGAGTGATTAGTGCTTTTCTAGGTCGGTTTGGTTTCGGTTCGATTATGAAAAACATTATCATGGTTTTCGGTTTTCGATAACAATTAAATGCATTATGAAATAATGACAAACATTAATGACAAACAGCTTTTTAACGGAAATTTACAAAAGCCAAAAATAGTGAAAATGTAATTGCCAAAGCATTAAAAATATTCCATTGTCTATGTCAGGTCCACATTGGGTAGACATCAATAGAAAAATAGTAAATTACTATGAAATAATAAAATATTCAGTTGTCTGTTACATCGTTTTATTTGATGACTTTATTATTTTTAATTCCTTAAAGTTATCATCTCATCTCTGCTCAGGCTGTAGCAGCCAGTCAGCCAGACAACATTATGTCTGTGCTCCCCATACTGCACTGTCTTTAGTCATCCTATTTAGCTAGACTAGCCTGCCTAAGTACTGTCGTGGTCAAAAGTTTTGAGAATGACATAAATATTAATTTTCACAAAGTCTGCTGCCTCAGTTTTTATGATGGCAATTTGCTCCATATACTCCAGAATGTCATGAAGAGTGATCAGATGAATTGCAATTAATTGCAAAGTCCCTCTTTGCCATGAAAATGAACTTAATCCCCAAAAAACATTTCCACTGCATTTCAGCCCTGCCACAAAAGGACCAGCTGACATCATGTCAGTGATTCTCTCGTTAACACAGGTGAGAGTGTTGACGAGGACAAGGCTGGAGATCACTGTCATGCTGATTGAGTTAGAATAACAGACCGGAAGCTTTAAAAGGAGGGTGGTGCTTGAAATCATTGTTCTTCCTCTGTTAACCATGGTTACCTGCAAGGAAACACATGCCGTCATCATTGCTTTGCACAAAAAGGGCTTCACAGGCAAGGATATTGCTGCTAGTAAGATTGCACCTAAATCAACCATTTATCGGATCATCAAGAACTTCAAGGAGAGAGGTTCAATTGTTGTGAAGAAGGCTACAGGGCGCCCAAGAAAGTCCAGCATGCGCCAGGACCGTCTCCTAAAGTTGATTCAGCTGCGGGATCGGGGCACCACCAGTGCAGAGCTTGCTCAGGAATGGCAGCAGGCCGGTGTGAGTGCATCTGCACGCACAGTGAGGCGAAGACTTTTGGAGGATGGCCTGGTGTCAAGAATGGCAGCGAGGAAGCCACTTCTCTCCAGGAAAAACATCAGGGACAGACTGATATTCTGCAAAAGGTACAGGGATTGGACTGCTGAGGACTGGGGTAAAGTCATTTTCTCTGATGAATCCCCTTTCCGATTGTTTGGGGCATCCGGAAAACACCTTGTCCGGAGAAGACAAGGTGAGCGCTACCATCAGTCCTGTGTCATGCCAACAGTAAAGCATCCTGAGACCATTCATGTGTGGGGTTGCTTCTCAGCCAAGGGAGTGGGATCACTCACAATTTTGCCTAAGAACACAGCCATGAATAAAGAATGGTACCAACACATCCTCCGAGAGCAACTTCTCCCAACCATCCAAGAACAGTTTGGTGACGAACAATGCCTTTTGCAGCATGATGGAGCACCTTGCCATAAGGCAAAAGTGATAACTAAGTGGCTCGGGGGAACAAAACATCGACATTTTGGGTCCATGGCCAAGAAACTCCCCAGACCTTAATCCCATTGAGAACTTGTGGTCAATCCTCAAGAGGCGGGTGGACAAACAAAAACCCACAAACTCCAAGCATTGATTATGCAAGAATGGGCTGCCATCAGTCAGGATGTGGCCCAGAAGTTAATTGACAGCATGCCAGGGCGGATTGCAGAGGTCTTGAAAAAGAAGGGTCAACACTGCAAATATTGACTCTTTGCATAAACTTAATGTAATTGTCAATGCTTGTAATTATACTTCAGTATACCATAGTAACATCTGACAAAAATATCTAAAAACACTGAAGCAGCAAACTTTGTGAAGACCAATACTTGTGTCATTCTCAGAACTTTTGAAAACGACTGTATGCTGCAGAGCTGTATGCTGCAGGGCTGTATGCTGCAGAGCTGTATGCTGCAGAGCTGTATGCTGCAGGGCTGTATGCTGCAGGGCTGTATGCTGCAGGGCTGTATGCTGCAGAGCTGTATGCTGCAGAGCTGTATGCTGCAGAGCTGTCTAATAAAATAATTGTACTACTTCTTCAAAGTAGATAACGCATACCTTCACGAACTGTCTCCGTCCCTCTCTCTCATCTTTGTGTTGTGTACATTCCTCTCTCATGCGGTCTGTGTGTATCTAACCTATAGCAGGCGTAAAAGTGTATCCATCTCTGCCGCAATGGATTATGGTCATTGTAGTTAATTACCACGTTTCTGCGCTGAACTAGGTTGAATATTTGCTTAATGAAAACTACAACTCCCTTCAGCCCATCTTCCCACATAGTCCTCGAGTTGATTTCTCTCGTGAATGATTTGATTTCTCTCTAGAGAAAAATGGAATTACAATTAATTGAACCGACGTTGGTCAGTTAGTTGTTTAATAACCGAAATGTTGGTGAATTGCTCAGCACTATTGTCCACAGTGTGTGTGTGGTTTTACTGTCCAGGTGGGGACCGAAAGTCCTTACAAAGATGGTAAAACAAGGAACATTCAGACAAGTGGGGACATTTCTCTGATCCCCTCAAGGACAAAGGCTATTTTAGGCTTTGGGGTTAGGTTTAGGGTTAGCGTTACAATTAGGGTTAAGTTTAGGGTTAGGATTACAATTAGGGTTAAGTTTAGGGTTAGGATTACAATTAGGGTTAAGTTTAGGGTTAGGATTACAATTAGGGTTAAGTTTAGGGTTAGGATTTGGGGTTACGGTTAAGGTTAGGCTTAGGTTAAGGGTTAGGTTTAGGGGTTAGGGAAAATAGGATTTTGAATGAGAATCAATTGTTTATCTCGCTCTCTCTCTCTCTCTCTCTCTCTCTCTCTCTCTCTCTCTCTCTCTCTCTCTCTCTCTCTCTCTCTCTCTCTCTCTCTTTCTCCCTGTCCTCTTCTAGGTCATTCCCCAGGAGGAGGACACTAAGATCAGTCTGACATATAAGTACATCATCCATGAGGACCTGCTGCCGGTCATCACCAATAACAACGTTCTCCTGGCCGAGCTGGATACCTACGAATGGGCCCTGAAGAGCTGGTCGCAGTGCTCCAAACCCTGTGGGGGAGGTGTGTGTGTGGAGCGGCTCTTTAGACCAGATGGATTCTCTCTCTAGGTTCTTTTTTAGAACAATCTCACCTGCTACAGAAAGGTCCCTGCTGGTTCACCTGTCAATCATGGTTGTTTCCTTTTGTGCCTGGCCTGCCAAGTACCCCTGCTGTGGGTTGGTGCTATTTTCACAACCTGGCAACCTGCTGTGAGTTGGTGCAATTTTACCCAACCTGGCAACCTGCTGTGGGTTGGTGCAGAGAAGAGCCTAGATATCCTCAGGGCATGTTGCTCAGGGGTCTCTGACACGTTCAGTTATTCAGATGGTTTTTCCTACCCTGTTGCTCTGTCTTATTGTGTGTGTGTGTGTGTGTGTGTGTGTGTGTGTGTGTGTGTGTGTGTGTGTGTGTGTGCTCTCTCCAGTGTTAGTTCTTATAGCCACCAGCATTTTCTTTCTGCCAAATGATTTACAGTATAATTGAGAAACGGTTATGTTTTATCAGCCGCTCCAACAGATTGTCCTTCCTGTCTGGCAGGTATACAGTACACCAAATACGGCTGCAGGAGGAAGAGCGACAGTCGACTGGTGCACCGGAACTTCTGCGAAACCAGCAAGAAGCCCAAACCCATCCGGAAACGGTGCAACGTGAACGAGTGCAGCCAGCCAACGTGAGTTCCTCTCCCCATCACTCTCTCCTCTATCCTTTCTCTCCATGTCCGAACCCATGTGGATAGCAAAGCAACCATTTCATCATCATCATCAGCATCATCCCTCTAAGAGACACTCCCTCTCAAAGAGGGACTGAAGCTAATGCACTCTGTCTGTCTGACTAACCTAGTTATTCCCAGTAGTGGACAGATTGAATACTGAGATAATAACCTTCTATTCCCAGTAGTGGACAGATTGAATAATGAAATAATTCCCTCCCTCCCTCCCCCCTTCCCTCCCTCCCTCCCTCCCCCCCCTCCCCCCTCCCTCCCTCCCTCCCTCCCTCCCCCCTTCCCTCTCTCCCCCTCCCTCCCTCCCTCCCTCCCTCCCTGCCTCCATCCCCCCCTCCCTGCCTCCATCCCCCCCCTCCCTCCCTCTCTCCCCCCTCCCCCCCCTCTCCCCCTCTCCCCCTCCCTCCCCCCTCCCTCTCTCCCCCCCCCCCCCTCTCTCCCCCCCCTCCCTCCCTCCCTCCCTCCCTCCCTCCCCCCTTCCCTCCCTCTCTCCCTCTCCCTCCCCCCCCCCCCCCTCCCCCTCTCTCTCCCTCCTCTCCCAGGTGGTTGGTAGAGGAGTGGAGCCCGTGCAGTAAGACGTGCGGGAAGCTTGGCTACCAGTCCAGGGTAGTTCAGTGTATGCAGGCCCTCCACAACGGCACCAACCGGACGGTCCACACTAAGTACTGTACAGAGGACAGGCCTGAGACGAGGAAGGTCTGTAACCCCTCTGCCTGCCCTGCGCAGTGGAGGACAGGGGCCTGGTCACAGGTGGGTCCCAGCATGGAGCTTCGCCACAGAGCATACTCTAGACAAGGGCCTGGTCACAGGGGGGTCCCAGCATGGAGCTCCGCCACAGAGCATACTCTAGACAAGGGCTTGGTCACAGGTGGGTCCCATCAAGGGCCTGGTCACAGGGGGGTCCCAGCATGGAGCTCCGCCACAGAGCCTACAGTACAGACAGTGTCCTGGTTATGGAGCTCAGCCACAGAGCATACTCTAGACGGGCCTGTTCTCATGGAGCTCTGTCACACAGCTTACAGTACTACTTATCAGGGTTGGGGTCAACTCCATTTCAATTCAATCAATGCTGGAATTGGAATTTCTGTTAACTAAAATAGAATTTAAGTTTTCTTTGTGAATTGACTGAATTGAATTGGAATGAACCTCAACCCTGGTATGGAACATCCTCCAGTCACCACACACTGAAGGACGTGAAGAGGATGGTTAGCGTATCCGGACCCCTCTAGCAGTCGTATTTTCGAATTTAAACACTTTTTCCTGTGTTGTTTACCAGGTTTCCTGGAAAGGGAAGTTGCTCGATCGATTTGTTTTAGAAATTGTGCTAGCTAACTGTTCCAGGGATTTCAGAGTTGTTTCTAAGAACTGTGAACAGCCAGCCGCTTTGAGACTCGTCTGACCTGTTTCCTCTCTGTGTCTCTCCGTGTGGCCCCACAGTGTTCAGTAAGGTGTGGAGAGGGGATTCAACAGAGACAGGTTGTCTGACCTGTTTCCTCTCTGTGTCTCTCTGTGTGACCCCACAGTGTTCAGTAAGGTGTGGAGAGGGGATTCAACAGAGACAGGTTGTGTGTCGAGCCACAGACAACACCATCGGCCAGTGTGAGGGAGACAAGCCTGAAACTGTCCTCATCTGTAAACTGAGCCCGTGTCCAGGTACAGTACACACACACACACACACACACACACACACACACACACATGCGCGCATACAGATATAAGCCAATGGTGTGTAAGAACTGTTCCCTCCTGCTGTCCCTATAAGTGTCTCAGGACACCTTTGTAGCACTGTGTGTGTGTGTGTGTGTGTGTGTGTGTGTGTGTGTGTGTGTGTGTGTGTGTGTATGTCTATAAATGCTTCTGAACAGTTGGGAAAGTCAATAGAATCCGACCCTCTTCTTCTCCATAATACCTGGGGGGGAAATTGGGGGAATTGAGCTTTGTACCCGGTTATGTTTTCTGAGGAGTGACTTCCAGGAGGTGAAACACATTTAGGGACTCCTTTATGAAGTCTTAGAAAGCTATGATTACCTGCCATGTTGGAACACTGCTGTGTTGGGGACACATGGACACATGGACACATGGACATCAGTAACCAACAATACACATCCTACACACACACCTCACCATGGGGGAACCACTAGCCAACACTACACAAACCTCACCATGGGGGAACCAGTAGCCAACACTATACACCTCACCATGGGGGAACCAGTAGCCAACAATATACACCTCACCATGGGGGAACCAGTAGCCAACACTATACACCTCACCATGGGGGAACCAGTAGCCAACACTATACACCTCACCATGGGGGAACCAGTAGCCAACACTATACACCTCACCATGGGGGAACCAGTAGCCAACACTACACAAACCTCACCATGGGGGAACCAGTAGCCAACACTATACACCTCACCATGGGGGAACCAGTAGCCAACAATATACACCTCACCATGGGGGAACCAGTAGCCAACTAACCCCATGGGGAACCATACCAACTATACACCTCACCATGGGGGAACCAGTAGCCAACACTATACACCTCACCATGGGGGAACCAGTAGCCAACACTATACACCTCACCATGGGGGAACCAGTAGCCAACACTATACACCTCACCATGGGGGAACCAGTAGCCAACACTATACAACCTCACCATGGGGGAACCAGTAGCCAACACTATACACCTCACCATGGGGGAACCAGTAGCCAACAATATACACCTCACCATGGGGGAACCAGTAGCCAACACTATACACCTCACCATGGGGGAACCAGTAGCCAACACTATACACCTCACCATGGGGGAACCAGTAGCCAACACTATACACCTCACCATGGGGGAACCAGTAGCCAACACTATACACCTCACCATGGGGGAACCAGTAGCCAACACTATACACCTCACCATGGGGGAACCAGTAGCCAACACTATACACCTCACCATGGGGGAACCAGTAGCCAACACTATACACCTCACCATGGGGGAACCAGTAGCCAACACTATACACCTCACCATGGGGGAACCAGTAGCCAACACTATACACCTCACCATGGGGGAACCAGTAGCCAACAGTATACACCTCACCATGGGGGAACCAGTAGCCAACACTATACACCTCACCATGGGGGAACCAGTAGCCAACACTATACACCTCACCATGGGGGAACCAGTAGCCAACACTATACACCTCACCATGGGGGAACCAGTAGCCAACACTATACACCTCACCATGGGGGAACCAGTAGCCTAAATGTCCTATTTTCACACAAAACATGGTCTCACACAAAACAACAAATTGTTGGTGTGGCCTCATAATGCTTTCTCTCAAAGGGCCAAGGAGGACCAGGGTGGGGAGATCTGTGTCTCTGTCTGTGTGTGTGTGTGTGTGTGTGTGTGTGTGTGTGTGTGTGTGTGTGTGTGTGTGTGTGTGTGTGTGTGTGTGTGTGTGTGTGTGTGTCTGTGTCTCTGTCTGTCTGTGTGTGTGTGTGTGTGTGTGTGTGTCTCTGTAGTATTCCAAAGGCGCTCTACAGAGGAGGATGAAAGGGGAGTTGTCCAAACATGAATGGGAGACATTCAGGAGAGGAGAGCAACAGGGGTTCTTAAGAGCTATGATTACCTGGGGAGTTAGGAACAGATGGCGCCTTGTGTTGTTGCTTTGTGTGAGACCATGTTTATGTCACATTAGGACACAGGCTACTGGTTCCCTTGTTGTATTGTTGGTTACTGACGTCCCGTGCGAAGCGTAGCTGGGTCATGCAGCAAGACAATGATCCAAAACACACAATCAAGTCTACATGAAAATGGCAACAAAAAAAACTACACATTTGAAGTTTTGGAATAGCCTAGTCAAAGTCCAGACCTAATCCCAATTGAGATGTTGTGGCAGGACGACTTGAAACAAGCAGTTCATGCTTGAAAACCCATAAACTTTGCTGAGTTAAAGCAGTTCTGCATGCAAAAGTGGGCCAGAATTCCTCCACAGCGATGTGAGAGACTGATCAACAAGTACAGTAAGCATTTGGTTGCAGTCATTGCAGCTAATGGTGACACAACCAGTTATTGAGGGGGCAATTACTTTTTCACACAGGGGAATGGGTGTTGCATAACTTTGTTAATAAAATAAATAAAATAAGTATCAATTTTTTTGTTATTTGTAAACTCAGGTTCCCTTTATCTAATATGAGGTTTTGGTTGAAGATCTGATAACGTTCAGTATCAAAAATATACAAACACAGAGAAAATCAAAAAGGGGGGAAATATTTTTTCACGGCCCTGTATATATATATACAAACAGACTAAATATACCAAATATTTAACTAAATAAAGGATTTTAGAAATTCTTCCGTGACCCCATTTTCATATCAGCCGACCCCTAGTTCGGGAGCCGCTGCCATAGAAAATCCCTTTTTGGTGCTATATGTAACCTTTCTTTTGAAGGTACTATAAAGAACCATGCTCAAGGTTCTAAATAGAACATTTATGGTGCTAATGTTCTATGAAGAACCATTAATAAAAGGTTATATATATAGCATCAAAAAAGGGTTCCACTATGGTTACAACCCTTTTCTTATGGTTCTTTATAGAACCTTTATGGAGAATGGTTCTATAAAGAACCTTTGTCAATCTGAAAGGTTCTTCGTAGATCCTTTTGAAGAACCATACAGGGTTTTTTATTCTGGTCAGCCATATTATATTGTTAAAACTCCATAGGTGTTATTATTGTGTTCATTGACAAGTTGAATCAAGTGAGCTACCTCTAGAACAGCTGAGGGTCCCTGAGGAGAGAAGTGAGACCCAATGACTGATTTTAGTCATCTGTTCTCAATTGACACAAGGCCATACATGACTTTTTCACAAGACACCATCACTGGCCATTGTCATATATAATATATAATGGCATAACACAACAGATTAGATATCCTGACATGACACTCTCACTCACGGTTGCACAAAAAGAGCTGTGAACAAACCACGCCTCAAAATATTTTAATGAGCCGCCTCCCCTACATTTTAATGATCACTAAAAGAGGAAATAACCATTTTCTGAACTGCAAATAACCATTAAAGAGATGGAAGGGCTATGTGAGTCATTATGGTTCCACATAGAACCAGTAGTGGAAAAAGTTGTCATACTTGAGTAAAAGTAAAGATACCTTAATAGAAAATGACTCAAGTAAAAGTGAAAGACACCCAGTTAAATACTACTTGAGTAAAAGTCTAAAAGTATTTGTTTTTAAATATACATAAGTATCAAAAGTAAATGTAATTGCTAAAATATACTTAAGTATCAAAGTAAAAGTATAAATCATTTCAAATACCTTATATTAAGCAAAGCAGACGGCACCATTTTCTTGTTTTTAACATTTACGGATAGCCAGGAGCACACTCCAACATTTACAAACAATGCATGTTTGTTTAGTGAGTCCGCCAGATCAGAGGCAGTAGGGATGACCACGTGTTCTCTTGATAAGTGCGGGAATTTGACCATTTTCCTGTCCTGCTAAGCTTTCAAAATCTAACGAGTACTTTTGGGTGTCAGGGAAAATGTATGGAGTAAAAAGTACATTATTTTATTTAGGAATGTAGTGAAGTAAAAGTACTTTACCATTTATATTTTTGACTAAAGTACAAATACTCAAAAAAACTACCTAAAAGTATGTTTACACCACTGTTGGTAATATACAGGTTACTGCCAAAATAAAGGAAACACTTGAGTAAATGAGGGATACAAAGTATATTGAAAGCAGGTGCTTCCACATACGGTAGGTGTGATTCCTGAGTTATTTAAACAATTAACATCCCATCATGCTTAGGGTCATGTATAAAAATGCTGTGAACGCCATTATTTTGGCTACCATGGCCAATCACAATGATTGGTGATTGACAGGTCTGAAGGCCATTCAAGGTTGAGAAGGCCAGCCTATTTTACAGCCGCCCCTGGATTTCCTGTGGAAATCCACACAACTACTTAAGTAGTACTTTAAAGTATTTTTACTTAAGTACTTTACATCACTGCATAGAACCACCACCCCTTCCCAAAGTAACTTTCCCAAAATGTCCAGGATGTCCAGAAATCCCAGTTGGTACATTACTAGAACAAGGAAGGAAAAAGCAGGAAATCTGGAATCCTCCAACCTGGATTTCTGGAAAACCAATGAAAACCTGAAAGTCCCACCATGTAATAATCTGTAAAGTTTGCCCTCTCTCATCTTCTGGTAAAAACAGGACAGTCATCGCTGCCCCCTTTCAATATAGAAGCGATGGAGAATTCAACGACAAAGACGGAGGGTGTACATCAGATTGTTCCTGAGAATCCCGTCCACAAAATCTCCTCCAGTAAGTGAGCATGGGATGCTTCTATTGTATTTTATTGGATACTAGTCTATTTTATTCTTAGCGGCTTACCATTTTAAACATCTGATTGTTCCTTGACTAGCACCATTTATTGTTGCTGTCGATAATTCTAATGTTATAACTTCTAATAGTAACTGTATCCACTGGTTAAATGGGAGAGAGTGAGGTGGTCGCCATCTTAGAGTCAACCATTCTTTTGCAGTAGTGCTGCCTGCCAGCAGTAATCTTCTCTGATTGAGCGATTCAAGGGGCTATCATCGTTGCGTAACATAATAGATGGAAAGCATTGAATATTTAAATTCACGTACTTCGAATATATATATATATTTTTCATTGCCCAAAAGCATTTAACTGCAGGGCACTCCCACATCATATGAATGAATGTGTCTACCTGATTTAGGGGACACAGTGAACAGTTGGGAGTTGGGGCCAATTTCATCATAAAACGGTGAAAGTCTGTGAATAAACTTAACATGTATAAGTTGGTGGTTTGGATTACGGAATGCCAAGGTCATATTTTTCCATATTCTGTTCCAGTTAAAGGGTGGTTCAGATTCAGTTAGATCTGTGGACCATACTTTTTTTAATGGCTAGCTCAGAATATGAGCTTTCCAAAAGTTGTTTATATATTATAGAGATCAGTCCTTTCAAGAGCCCAGATCATTTATTTATAAATCCCATCGTTGGATGTTTCGGCAGTTGGGTTTCCCAAGGGACTCCATAGGCCAGCATAGTTGTAAATATATTTACAAAACATGTTGCCTTGGAATGTTCTCAAACCATTAATGTCCATGGTATCGGTAAGGGTACGGATTCCACATTTGGACCATTGGGGGTCAAAAGGTCGCCCTCCAGATTTGCAAGGCATTATTATGAAATATTGGAGTATGGACATGCCATTTTGATTCCCAGTTACATTGTTTTTCAAATAGAAATTGTGCGAGCAATAATAGGACTAAAACATAGTTGACATTGTTTAAAGGGATATATCAGTGAAGACCACCTCTTCCAGGGCAATAGGAGACAGGGTGGAGAAGAATCATGTCTAAACCAATTTTGGATGGGGTGAAATGCTAGTGCCTGGAAATACCACTTAAGCTCTGGTACAGGTAGTCCTCCTACATATTTCCCTCTTTGTAAATGTGTTAATTTTATCCGGGATCGTTCACCTTGCCGTGTACATTTTTAAACCATACTATGACTTTCTGCCCAATAGCCAGAGCCATGGGAAGCATTGAACTACAGAAATTCAGCCACAAATGGGATATTATTCCATTTACTGAGGTCGGATTTAATTGATTTGAGCATTCTGTTAAAGTTTCTGGCAATGGTTTTATCTAAAGAATGAACTACACTGTGTATACAAACCATTAGGAACACCTGCTCTTTCCATGACATAGACTGACCAGGTAAATCCAGGTGAAAGCTATGACCCCTTATTGATGTCACTTGTTAAATCCACTTCAATCAGTGTAGATGAAGGGGAGGAGACAGGTTAAAGAAGGATTTTTAAGCCTTGAGACAATTGAGACATGGATTGTGTATGTGTGCCATTCAGAGGGTGAATGGGCAAGACAAAAGATTTGAGTGCCATTAAACAGGGTATGGTAGTAGGTGCTGGGCACACTGGTTTGAGTGTGTCAAGAACTGCAACGCTGCTGGGTTTTTCACGCTCAACAGTTTCCCGTGTGTATCAAGAATGGTCCACCACCCAAAGGACATCCAGCTAACTTGACATAACTGTGGGAAGCATTGGAGTCAAGACGGGCCAGCATCCCTGTGGAACGCTTTTGACACCTTGTAGATTCCATACCCCGTCGAATTGAGGCTGTTCTGAGGGCAAAAGGGGGTGAAACTCAGTATTAGGAAGGTGTTCTATGCCCTTTTGAGTTCATAGAGAGATTTGGGCTCGCAGCGAGGTGGCTTCCTCTGTTGAGAGAAGAGGCGTTCTTTATTCTTTTTAGAAAGGACTTAGTCTGACTTGGTGTGGATTTACAATCGGAGGTGTACCGTTCTTTATAAAAGCAGGAGAATCTTTGATTGATTAATTCGGGTTCTGATAGTAATTCCCCTGTTTCAGTTTTAATAGTTGCTGTATCAGCTAATTGATCGTTACTGCGTAGCTCGTTGGCCAGTAAACAACGGGACCATGGAAGTAATGGTTGCCTTACTCGATGGATCGCAAATTCTGCTCTCTGTCTTGTCAATAAATTAACTTCTGTCTTATATCATAATATGCCATTTAGCAGACGCTTTTATCCAAAGCGACTTATAGTCATGTGTGCATACGCAGGTTTTTATAACGTAGCGGTGGTCCCCGGAATCGAACACACTACCCTGGCGTTGCAAGCCCCATGCTCTACCAACTGAGCTAAAAAGGACCTTGATTTTGGAAAGAGTAATAGCTATCTGGTCTGAAAACAGTGTTTGTTGAGAACACTCTAACACAGTTAACATTTCAAATTATGATACCTTCTTTAATTGTGATTTATTCAACCCAGATGCAAATGTCGAATTTCTATTTTCTTGATGAAAGAAAATAGATGTGTAGATAATGGTATGAAATCAATTAGTGAAACAAAAAACAGGACCCACAGGGAAACCCAGCCATTGGTCGTTCCCCATCCAGGTCATGGAGTCACTTCTCTGTCACATTGGCCACTGTCTCCAAACTTTCCACTTCAGTTGAGTAGGTATCCACAGCAGTGCAAGAGATTCATTTATCGGTTTTAATTGCAAGTCAAAGGCAGAGGTAATGTCCTCACGAACAATCTCTCGGATAGTATTGGCCAACTATTTCGGTTGTCAGGTGTTTTAATAAACATCTTTATTTTGCATTCAAGCCTCAGTTTTGGATTTATTCATTATTTCGACAGTGTGTGTGTGACACTATTCAGTAGTAAGGACCTTAAAAGAGCGCAGGATGGCCTCTTATCATTCATGGGTGTTGAGAGCCGCCATGTTCCCACAGGTGAATTATGAACGGACAGAATATGCCAGCTACTGGAGAGAAGTAGACCTGCTATTGTTCCTTGTAATACAGAGAATAGCCCTCACCTTAACGTGATGTTATATGTAATACACATTTATTTGAAAATAAGTCAGTTAATTCATAGTTATTTTGCAAAAGAAAAGCCACGAGAAAGCCACAAGTTTTTCAATGAATGCCAACGGAACGGGATACGGTTGAAGAGGTTGCTAGGTGTTGGGTTAAGGTCACTACAGCGTGAGGAGAGAGCGGTAATGTCTACGTGTCTGTTCTGACTGTGTTATGCTCTCACCCCACAGATGAGCCATGTCTTGGGGACAAGTCTATATTCTGCCAGATGGAGGTCCTAGCCCGCTACTGTTCCATCCCTGGCTACAACAAGCTGTGCTGTGAATCCTGCAACAAGAAGGAAGGCTTCACCACCCTCTTCTCTCCATCCCCAGACCTCCACAAGACTGGAGGATCCTCAGACTCTGAGACTGGCCCAGACCAGGAGACCTCCACCCAGCCGAACCCCACCGCCTCCACCACCCTACCATCAGACACCCCGCTCCCCCACACCACTACCCAGAGCCCACCCCGAACCACTAAGACCCCTAGACGGCCTCGCTCCACTGCCCAGGGCCTGACCACCTCACCGTCGGCGGGTGCGGTCCCTCCCAAGGGTCCTTCCTTGGGGGTCGGGGATGGAGACTCGGTCCCTGTGCTCCCTTCTCTACCTCCAGGTCCCAGCCCGCCTCTCCGGCCCCGGCTCCGGCCCAACGCTGCTCCAGACTCCAATGGAGACCCTGCTTTATCGCCATCTAAAGAGCACAGCAGTCCAAACAACCGCTCTTTAGGCCAAGCCGCCGGCCCCGGCCCTGAACCCGGGCCTGCTGGAGCTGTGGCTGGCGTGGCTGCTGCCAGGTCAAGAAGGGAGGATGTAGGATCAGAGAGGGACTCAGCTCACAGAACCAGAACAACCAGAACCATGTCCCATGTGGTGACATGATCCCTGACTTATCCTGTGACTTGCTGCTCAGTAATATGGTCCACCATGACTTCCGTCAGCTCAACGTTATTACAACGTTGTTACAGCATTACAGTGTTACAGCGTTACAATGTTACAATGTGACAACTTTATTACAACGTTACAACATTATTACAACCATCTGAGGGATTATCCTGGACTGGACTCTCAACCGATTGCTGCAAGAATAAATTAACATGCCAGTGGACTTAGACCAGTAATGGTTACCTCATCGAACCAGCAGAGCGATTTGCACTGCATCACTCAGCCCTCTCTGCTTCAGTTAAGAAATGGAAGAAAAACAAGAAAATAAAAAGGTGCTGAAACTAAAATGACTACAAGACATGTTAAACAATGTGACGACTGCATTGGCTGCCATTACTTCCTAATCTGTGTACATGTTAAACAATGTGACGACTGCATTGCTACCATTACTTCCTGATCTGTGTACAGTTGTGCAAACATATTTTGAAAGTGCATCAGAACTACTTATTGAACTTAATATTGTGAAGATATTTTGTGGCACGGACAAAAACCTTTACTTTGGGGGCTGTCACAAGTTGTAGTGATGATGTCACAAGTCTTGGTGATTTCACAAATCTTGGTGAGGATGTCACAGGTATTGGAGATAATGTTGCAAAGTCTTGGTGATAATGTCGCAAAGTCTTGGTGATGATGTCACAATGTATTGGTGATGATGTCGCAAAGTCTTGGTGATGATGTCACAATGTATTGGTGATGATGTCGCAAAGTCTTGGTGATGATGTCACAATGTATTGGTGATGATGTCGCAAAGTCTTGGTGACGATGCCACAATGTATTGGTGATAATGTCGCAAAGTCTTGGTGATGATGTCACAATGTATTGGTGATGATGTCGCAAAGTCTTGGTGACGATGCCACAATGTATTGGTGATGATGTCGCAAAGTCTTGGTGATGATGTTGCAAAGTCTTGGTGATGATGTCACTTCCTCCAGGGAGCTTTGTAACCTCTCCCCATTGGTGCTCTTATTGTTGATGTGCTTCCCAAACAACCATTTACAAGAGATTGACCTCAGAGGTCATCAAAAGGTCAACAGGTCAAGTCTGTTTGCAAAGCCAACCCCACTGTAGCATGCACATTGCCTTTGTGGAAAAACTCACATATGCTTTAAAAGATAAAAAGAAAAAACATTATTGATATTTTTTTGATATATTTTTCAAGTAATTTTGTATATAGTGTAAATTTCAGCAGCATATTATTATCTAAGAAACTAACAGCCAGCCAACGGAATGTAAAGTATGATGACGTCATTGAGAAGTTAAGAGAGAATGCTGTAAGTCTGCAGAGCGGTTGGTCTGATGTCACGCTGTTTCAAGTTGTGCATTACCTCATTCCTGTCTTGCAGTTCATAACATCCTTATGTGTATTGTATAGTTCTTGTATATACATGAATGAAAAGCTTTAAATGTTAATATTTATTAAATGTTTAAATGGTAGGGAGAAATAATGTTTGAAAGAAGAATGTAAAAGTTCTTTTTTTTGCATCGTCCTGGTCCGAGTCGAGAGCTAATTAGCTGGCGGAAAAGCTCAGTCAGATTAGGACAATACCCTGTGGTTCAAAATCTTTTTTTCCTTTGTTCAACCTTTTTTTTTATACTAACAGCAGGATTCAGTTCATACCCAGACAACATCTTAAAGGGACAATCTGCAGTAGCTACATCCATTTTTTTTAGACTTCTAAATATTGATGATGTATACCCATTGATTCTTGAAGAATATAACTTACAGTTGCCTCATTAGCTTAGTTCAACTTTCGTACCCCATCAGAACTCAAAATACACTGAGTGTACAAAACATTAGGAACACCTTCCTAACATTGAGTTGCATCCTCTTTTGCCCTCAGAACAGCCTCAATTCGTCGTGGGCGTGGACCCTACAAGGTGTCAAAAGCGTTCCACAGGGATGCTGGCCCATGTTGACTCCAATGCTTCCCACAGTTGTGTCAAGATGGCTGGATGTCCTTTGGGTGGTGGACCATTCTTGATACACACGGGAAACTGTTAAATGTGAAAAGCCCAGCAGCGTTGCAGTTCTTTACACACTCAAACCAGTGCGCCTGACATCTACTACCATACCCCGTTCAAAGGCACTTAAATCTTTTGTCTTTCCCATTCACCCTCTGAATGGCACACATACACAATCCATGTCTCAGTTGTCTCAAAAATCCTTCTTTGACCTGTCTCCTCCCCTTCATCTACACTGATTTGAAGTGGATTTAACAGGTGACATCAATAAGGGGATCATAGCTTTCATCTGGATTCACATGGTCAGTCTGTCATGGAAAGAGCAGGTGTTCCTAATGTTTTGTACATTCAGTGTATAAGCTTGTTTTAACTATTTTGTTTGTAAACAATGTACATGTAAACAAACCCTGTACAGTCTGAAACATGGTCAAACTATAATTGTGATACAGTATCATGGATGGTCAGTCCTTGTATCCAGAGCTCTATCTATGAATTTGAAAGTGGTTACATTTCTCCAGCCCCATCCCTCAGCTGTTTACCATATCAGTGGCGGGGTGTCTCCTTTGTAATTGTTCGAACTGCAGATTGCCGCTTAAATGCGTCTGTATTTACTCAGTATGGATGGATGTCCTGGTGCTAAAGTAATGAAGGCTTCTGAAACCTTATTCAGACATAACTGGCATGGCATGGCTCCTTCTGAAACCTTATTCAGACATAACTGGCATGGCATAACTCCTTCTGAAACCTTATTCAGACATAACTGGCATGGCATAACTCCTTCTGAAACCTTATTCAGACATAACTGGCATGGCATGGCTCCTTCTGAAACCTTATTCAGACATAACTGGCATGGCTCCTTCTGAAACCTTATTCAGACATAACTGGCATGGCATAACTCCTTCTGAAACCTTATTCAGACATAACTGGCATGGCATAACTCCTTCTGAAACCTTATTCAGACATAACTGGCATGGCTCCTTCTGAAACCTTATTCAGACATAACTGGCATGGCATAACTCCTTCTGAAACCTTATTCAGACATAACTGGCATAACTCCTTCTGAAACCTTATTCAGACATAACTGGCATGGCTCCTTCTGAAACCTTATTCAGACATAACTGGCATGGCTCCTTCTGAAACCTTATTCAGACATAACTGGCATGGCATAACTCCTTCTGAAACCTTATTCAGACATAACTGGCATAACTCCTTCTGAAACCTTATTCAGACATAACTGGCATGGCATGGCTCCTTCTGAAACCTTATTCAGACATAACTGGCATAACTCCTTCTGAAACCTTATTCAGACATAACTGGCATGGCATGGCTCCTTCTGAAACCTTATTCAGACATAACTGGCATGGCTCCTTCTGAAACCTTATTCAGACATAACTGGCATGGCATGGCTCCTTCTGAAACCTTATTCAGACATAACTGGCATGGCATAACTCCTTCTGAAACCTTATTCAGACATAACTGGCATGGCATGGCTCCTTCTGAAACCTTATTCAGACATAACTGGCATGGCATAACTCCTTCTGAAACCTTATTCAGACATAACTGGCATAACTCCTTCTGAAACCTTATTCAGACATAACTGGCATGGCATAACTCCTTCTGAAACCTTATTCAGACATAACTGGCATGGCTCCTTCTGAAACCTTATTCAGACATAACTGGCATGGCAAGACACACTGTGATCTGATTGTGTTCAGATCTTCCTGACCACCTCCAGATCTAGCCGGGGATCCATTGTGTTTGGATATCTTCTTACAAGTTTAGACAGATCTGTACAGTGAAACCATTTACATTATCCTTATCCCACCCTCTAAAATCATTGACAGGTGGCCCCATTGACTTATGCCAATCATTTGTGTCTTCAAATAAATACATCAATATTGTTTTTGAAGGACTAGCTGTGAGAAAAAAAAACTCTGACAGGGAGGGACCAGGAAATGAGGTCACAATGCAGACACAGTGGGCGGATAAGAGATCCATTTTAATACCGTGTGTAGGCACTTCTCATAAAATATCACAATCAGAATGTGGACAATATCAGAACTCATGACATGTTAGCGCTAGGTATTAACGGAGATTCTGAATGATGATGGTGACGGGTTGTCGTGTGGAGTATCGTGTTATTGGAAGACCGGGGGGGGGGTTATGGGGGGGGACCAATTCAAGACCATGATATTAATTTTGTCAAATCACCACCATAATAATAGTTCAAAATGTCCAGTATTTCTGTGTTCATATTTCAGAACAACAGATGGATTCTTTAGACATTCAGATTAGTGAAAAAAATGCATGCTGAGGGAAAATAGAGCCACTCTACAAATTATTACTAACCCAAACACAGTGGGGAACAATGGGCCTTCTACGCCTTCAGAGAAGGGCTAAGAATTGATAAAATAATGATTATAATAATATTATAATTATAATAATATTATTTTCAATGATGTTCTGATTTAATCTCTTCAGTTTTTGTTGGAATGGAAAGGGTTAACACTGAAGAGGATAAAAGAGTCTGCTAAATGGCATATAAGAGGAAAAAAAGATCCAATCAGATCTAGCTAGCTAAATCAGCCATTGGCTAGGCCATCAGAAGCAAGATAAAGGCATCTGCTATTCAACTGTATTAGGGCAACATTTTGGAGTGACAGTGGAATCAACCAATCACATTTTGACTTAATGAGTGGGACCGTTTTTACCACAAGTTATTTTCAAAGAGATGGCTAACAACAGCAAGCACGCTGCAATAAAAAATACAGTTCCACTCACCAGATGATGATCATTTGAAACTTAACTTGTTAAAAGTTATTCTTGAAAAGGGAGAAGCTAACAAATTAGCAACAACATCCTCTTTGATAACAGCTGCTGCAGCCGCTGACAACAAAAGCTAGCTAGATAGCTAGACCGTGGGAAAACTACTGCTTGCTATTGCGCAGTGACATGTTAGCCTTCAAGAAGGCAGACATTTCCATACGTACGCATTTTAAGTGGAACTGACAGCATTTTAGCAACATTAAATCTTATTACATTTTTATTTAACCTTTATTTAACTTTTTATTTATTTATTTTTATTTCACCTTTATTTAACCAGGTAAGCCAGTTGAGAACAAGTTCTCATTTACAATTGCGACCTGGCCAAGATAAAGCAAAGCAGTGCGATAAAAACAACAACACAGAGTTACATATGGGGTAAAACAAAACATAAAGTCCAAAATACAACAGAAGATATATATACAGTGTGTGCAAATGTAGCAAGTTATGGAGGTAAGGCAATAAATAGGCTATAGTGCAAAATAATTACAATTAGTATTAACACTGGAATGATAGATGTGCAAGAGATTATGTGCAAATAGAGATACTGGGGTGCA